TAGCCCGAGAGCTTGAGGGGTGTGTCTCCTTCTCCGCCCCCCCCGCCGCTCACCCTCGCCCGCCACTCCGCGAAGGGACGGGGCCCACCACTCTGCGAAGGGACGGGGCCCCCCGCCCACCTTGCCAGGTGCCGCTCCGATGTGAGGCTGGCTAACCTTTCGCGTGGGGAAGTCTCCAGGAGGGCGCGTCTGTCTCCTCATTACCATAATCCGGCACTTTCCCTCCGAGACTTTAATTAAAAGCAGCCAGCAGAGGTAATTATTTCTTACCTTGACACGCTTATTTATGGGCGGAGGCCGAAGAGGCCGGCTGGGGAAGGGAAGGGGAGGCTTTTGAAGATGCCTCCCCCCCTTTTTGCTTCCCCTTCTGACATAACTTCCAGTGATGTCAGGGGGCGTGGCATATGCTAATGACAACTTCGACCCTGCGGACCCAACGCTTCCGCAAGCCCGATTGTTTCTGCGCATCCTTCCCTGAAACAAATAATTCCCGGGTCGCCGGCTGAGAACGTTCCCGGCGTTGTGGGATTCGGGGACCTCCGGACGATTTATTTCCCTTCCCGGTCCTTAAAGAAGCTTATGCTGGAAGAAACGGAATGCTTCCAGGTGATGTTGGCAGAATGGGGTCTCTCTCTGTTGACTCTGTCCCTGGCCGCTCTCCACCCAGCCAATACAAGGACTGGAGGGGAATGCGAGGGTCCCAGGGAAACGGTCCTGAATCCTGCGACGCCCGGCTCGCACAGCCCTTCGTTTCTCTTCTGCAGAAGGGGGGGGGGTATAACCAATGCTCCCTCTAAGCTGCGGAGTCCTGTGAGCAAGAATTCTCCTTTGTGAGCTACTATCATTCAAGTGGTGAGCGAACCATTTGGCCACTGCGCAGATTAGTTTGCTCCTTCCTGAGCGAAGGCAAAAATGTGTGAACCGGAGGCTAAAAAACTGCGAGCTGGCTCACACTGACTCAGCTTAGAGGGAACGCTGGATATCACCCCGGGAGATCTCGATCCGTGCGGCCAAAGCTCGCCCTCCAAACGGGAAGATCTCCCGGGCGCCTCCCGGCTCCGCGGAGGAGAGTTGTCTCCCGGCTTCTACCCATTGTGGGGAGGGGGGGTTACGCAGGAGACCTTCCCGCTGAATCGTGGCCGCCAGACAACCGGGCGCAGCTCCGCGCGCTCCCAGGCAGAGCCGCTTCAAGCGAAGCCCCTTGAAACGAACGGGGTTGAGCGGGACCAGCTCTGCGTGGGATCGCATCGTAAAATGGGGGGTGGGGGGTGCTGGAAGAGGGTTTCCCCACCACTTGGAAGGGGGCGGCAGCTCACTCTCGAGAGTCTCCCCTTGCAAACAAAACTTCATTCGCCTCTTTCCCAACGACTTTATTCCGGTCGAAATGAGGCGCTGATAGAGCGGGGTGAATGACCGTTGTCAAATCCAGCGTTGGCGGCTTTTGGGGGGGCGGGGGGGGACACACACAGCCGGCCGGGCGGGATGGATGGGCGGAAAAAATAAGACCAGAGAATCTGGATCGCGCCAACCGCCCGTTCCCCATCTCCGTTTTTCTCATCCAAGGGAATCCATCCGGCTGCTTATCGGTACCTAGTTGTCGCCTTTTTGAAAAAAAGAGGCGCCCAGACCTCCAGCCGACCCCACGATTCCGAATCAACTTGGCCCTGAGAATCCGGATCTGCTCTAGAGGGACCCTCTCGGTCCATCTCCAGTTTGCAGGTTTCCGGGGAGGGGACGACGACTTTCTCTCGGGGCCAAGTGCAGCGAGTTGTGGGTCCAGGCTGGAAAACGACGTCTTTCCTGGGTGCCAATTTTCTTTTTCCCGGGGTGGGTTTTTTTTTTGGGAGATTTTCCCCCTGCTGTCCGCGCCCCCCCCCCCCGGAAATAGCGAAAAAGCCCTGCCTTCGTCTCGAGGGAGAAGTACCCGTCTGCCTGCTAGCTTTTCGCGGCTACCTCTCCAGTTCTCTCAAACGAGAAAGGACCGCGCTTCGTCTGGGTGGCGAGCCCGGGGTCCCTGCAACACACGCACAGACACAAACGCACGCCACACACACACACACAGACCCGTCTTCCTTTTGGACAGCCTTTCTCCTCTCCTCCCTCTCCCCCTCCCCGACTGGGGCTGGAGGGTCGCGGCTACAAGGGGCTGCCTTGTGTGAAGCCGGTCATTAAAATGCAATTCTCGCCAACAATGCAAAGAAGTCATTCTGCGGGGCGGAAAGGCCAGTGCGGAGGGGGATTTTCCTTTTTTTAAAAGAGGGGAGGGCAAAGCCCGTTCCGGCTCTCTCTTCTCCGCTCCCCGCCTGAAATTCCCAAGCCGAAAAAAGACAGAGACACCAGATCTGGAACCGGTAACGCGCCGCCGCCTGCCCCCCCCCCCCACCCGCCTCCCGCCCCCCCCCCCCAGCCGCCTGCCGCCCTTCTCCCTCTTTCTTTCTCTTCTGGCTCCACTCGGAGGTTTCTGCTCCAACCCAGGTGCCCCCCGCCACTTCCCGGCATTGTCTGACGCCTCCTCCCGCCAGCCACCCCAAAATGTTGCCCGAGCAACGAGTGCCCCAGTCCGCACACACCCCGGCCCTGGTGTGCAATTTCTTCCCTTCCCCTTCCCTTCCCTTTTTTCTTTTTCTTTTTTGCCAAGAAATAAAATCCAACCCGTCATGCTGGGAGAACTGACCCCCCCACCCCCAAACCTCCCAATTTCGGGGGAGGAGGACGCGGGCATCTTTACTTACCGGGAATCAGGTCAGGATTGTAATCCTAAAGGCGGCGGGGAGCGGGAGCGGAAAAAGAAAGGGAGGGACCGCCTCCCGCAGAAAAGTGGCCAGGAAAAGGGCCCCCCTCAAAAAAATTTGTCAAAATTCAAAAAGAAGGGACGCCTCGAGGCCCCCCTCTTCTCGGGGGCGGGGTGGGGTGGGGGCGTCCCGCCAATGTCTATTGTATCAATGTATTTCCCATGGCCGGTGGGGAGATGCCGGGAGCGTTCCGTGTCTTCCTGCGAGCTGGGCGCAAAAAAGAGCTGGCGGAGAAGGGAGCGAGAGAGCGAGCGGGGGACGGAGGGAGGCGGCGAGGGGGAGCGGGCGGGCGAGAGAGGAGGCGCGACTCGTGCAGATGGGCCCGATGCAGTGGCTGCCTGGCACCCAGGCGCACCGTTTTTGTTTGCGGCACATCATCTGCCCAATGACGCGTGACAGCCCCACCTCCCCTCCCTGCTTAACCCTTGCCTGGGCGCGGCCCTCGGGGCCTGGCGGCGCGCTCCAGTCCTCCGGCTCGCCTCCGAAGAGCTGCCGCCGCCCCCGCCGCCGCCGGGGAAGGCGTATGTCAGTCTCTCTTTCTCCCCACCGCCCCTGCTTCACCCCTCCGGAGCGGCCTTCCCCGAAAAAGAAAGGGCCACTGAGTGAGTGTGAGCTAGCTCACAGGGTTTTTTTTCAGCCTCTTGGCTCACACATTTCCGTCTTCGCTCG